TTGTTTTAAATAATTTAAGCTTTTTCTAAACTATCTTTTTCTTGTGGTTAAACTTTCTGTATAATTGGTATACAATTAGTATAACTTCACAAACAGAGTATATGTAGTTTGATTTTTTTTTTAAACAGCATTATATACTTTTAACTTTATAGCGTTATAGCTGACGAAAACACGAATTCAATGATCTACTGCACAATGACCTTTGAATGAATGTTATCTAAGAAATTCAAAGTAATTGAGGAAATGATTTTCCAACGCGCTAATGAGACGTACACGTAACTCGGTGTAAAGGATCATCAAACCTGTCTCACAAGTTGTCACAACACGATCTTACAGCTCGATCTTGTAAAACTGTCCAAAGGAAAACAAATCATACGCGATTAATATAATTTTTCAAACTTTTGTACGTATGGAGTTGGGTTTGACACATATTAAGAAATATAATTTTGCACTTTATATGTATACGAACTAAATTTTTTCTTGACATCTATCGATGTTACTTACTGTCTGAAATTAATTATAAAATAATAGAAAGCAACTTAATAATATTTATATTTGTATTTGTTTATCGACTGCAGATAAAATTGGAATTTTGTAAAAAATCGTGACAAAAATTGTAACTAAGTTTTGAAATAGGTTTGAATTTTTATTCTACACTTCTCAGACAATCATTTTGTGATTTTTTTTTAACAAGTTCACCATATTTTTTAACCATAATAGGCGTCGAAACATGCGAATCCACGCGTTCGAAGGAGACATTCCAAACCGTGGATTCGACTTATTGATTTTCTGTGTTAACGCACACACACACGCCACACAAATAACAGGAGGGTGGATTTCGTGGACGCCGCGACACACACCGACCTGTACACCATTGTGAATGGCATTTTGTACGATATTGTCATATGTTTTCTATTTGTTATTGTTAAAAAACGAAACTCTTTGAAATTTTAAAATAACAATGATAGTATTTATAAAAATTATACTATTTTTCAGTGACCCCTCGTAAATCTAATTTTCACTTAATTTTTATTTAATTCTTCCGTTATTAGTAAATCAGTTTTTAAACAAAATAGTGTGTTTGAAAGTAAAAATTCTTCATTTAGTTAAAATATCCCAATAATTCGAAACTCTTATTATGCAGGATATTGATGAGTTGTGATAATATAATTTATTTGTTTATGTATAGGAAACGATATTGTTAAGTATATAATGAATATTTATAAATTTTATTATGTTTCGATAGTCGGGAATTTTATGTTTGAAGGTAGCTGAGAGTTTCTTAAAAATTATAACAATTTTTGATAAATTTTTTTTATCGTTTATTGGAATTATTTTGCTTTTTTTTTATAGTACAATTTTGGAAGAAATTTCGATTAATAATTATATATTATATATTTTGATCTTGAATCAATAAAAGTTAAATTTTTTAATTTTAATTCTTTTTTATGAAAAAGCATGTGATTATTAAAATACAGAATTAAAAATAAAATATATAAATAACAATTGAATTAAATAAATAACAGTATTAAAATATATAATTTTAATTCTGAATAGTTAAATTCGAATTTTATAATGCCAATCGTTCTTGTATATAGAAATATGTAATTATTAAAATTAAAATACATAAATAACAACAAAATGTCTTGTTTAAAGTCGATTTGTTATAGTTAAGCAATTAAATATTACGGCAAGTACTTTCTTTTTCATTAGAATTATCTGTCTGAATTTTGTAGAAAATTTTAAATGAAAACAGTTATAAAGGAATTACTATGAATCAAAATTTATAATAAAAATTTAAAAATTCACCGTAACCTAATCGAACAAACATAACAATAAAATTATATTAAGAATATTAAAAAATTCTACGATCATCCAGAAATAGAAGCCATATTTGCACATCGACATTAAAATAAAAATCGATTTTTATTAAATTGCGCAATTATTAAATCAAATAATTTAAAAAATCTATGTGCACTTATTGATTATGTTAATCTTTTATGATTTGTCAAAATTGATATATAAAAGAATTTAACAATTTTTCAAATTTTATAAACAAAAGAAGATTCTTTATTTTGAGAAAAATGATAATTAAATAATTATAAATAAACTATAATTAATGGTCAAATATAGGCAACAATTGGAACATGGGCTTAAATATTAATTTTTGCCATGAAAATATTAAAATAATCATTTGTGTCAACAAATACGACGGAATACAGTTATTTGAGTTTTTGTTTGGATCTCTACCACTCGGTGAAGCAACCATAATCAGCAATGGCGCCGATTACTAACTTCGAATTATAAAAACAAGCCATACATTACGTTTAAACTTTTTCCAGCGCCCATTTTAAAAAACTACTGTTTTTCGAACGTATAATCGTGAGAAAAGATAGTAATCGGTTCGTTAACTATATTTCCGATAGAATATTTGTTAATTAGTCGAATCGTAGAAGAAGATTAAATTTTAAAATAATTGTATCGTGTTTCTATAACGAAAATAATTTATGCCAACAAAACTTATCAATAGGAATCGAAAGAAATAATAATAATAATATACGTATTACAAAATCCCAATTACCTACATATTTTATCCAACTCGATGGAATTCACTACAGTATAGTAAAAATAAAGTCATTAAAATATTAAAATCCACCATAATTTTCAAAGATCGTTTATTGTGTAGATTATGTAAATTATGGAGGTTCCACCATTTTGTCCCACACGTGGAAACTACAAAATTTAGGGATTATAATCGTAAAATCTGGGTAACATTAAAACAGTTGATATTTAAAATAATGCGTTAAAATTTTAAAATATTTGTTTTTTTGAAATTATCACAATAAATAGACAAAGTATAATTGGAGATCGCCAGGTCGCTGAAACATAATCAACAACGGCGTCGATGTCTAACCTTAAATCCCAGAAACGAAATTTCTTAATATTCTAAACATGAAAATATGATTAAGAAATGATACTACTCTTCATATTTCATTATTATGACTTCATAACAAAATACAAAGAGCATTTCGATTCCTCTTACCATGGAAATTATAACATACTAATTGCTATAGCGTCATTAAAAAAGTTTGGTTCCAAACAATTTAAATTGCCTTTGTTTTCAGTGCTGAATTATTGAGAAAAGAATTATTTATATCATGGGTCCACGTAATCAGGTCCAAATTTCATTATTGAAAGATTATTTCGAAATTGTTTTAGATTTGTTTTTAAATAAAATTCTAGACGCATTAAATTTCGATCTTCATAATAGAAAAGCCGAAAAAAGTAATTATTGTATCTAATATTTATTATTTCTTAGGACAATGTGAATTTAAATAAAAAATTTTTTTATAAACAGTTGGTATTTTTTACTGTTAAAAAAGATTACTTCTTCCATGTTTTGAATGTTGAATTCGATTAATTTTTAATTTTAAAACCATTTTAGCTTTTATTTGTTATATAAATCTTATATTTATCGTTTCGTTTATTTCTATATTTAAAAATTGCACGAATACTTCAAACATACAATAAATAAATATAAACAAAATTTGACAAGGAGGAAACTTTATAGTGGAAGTAAACATTCAAAATGGGTGTTTTTTTACCTAACATAAAAATATTGCAGTAAATAATAATTTAAAATGACGAATTTTGCTTAAATTCGACGTTAGGGGAATCACAGACCTAACTTTATAAACAGTTGAGGTTATGTCTCATGTTATTTTGTTAGAAGAAACGTCTCAGCATGTCTATTTCATTTCCTAAATCACAAAAGACGAAAATTTAGCACAATCAAACACACAGAAGCTTAAAAAAAAATGGTCAAAACTTGCGCAAACTATGGAAAATCTTGAACAAAACAAAAGATTCTAATAGAAAAGTGACTTATTTATGATATTCCATAATAAAACAACTCTAACCGTAGTTACGAAAATAAACTAAGCCTCGAAAGATGTCCAAGAACCTTTAGAACCTTACCAAAGTCCGTCCACACTAATTTTCAATGCTTCATACCATATTTTTCCTTGATTTCTACACGAAATGATCATCGTAATAATCATCGTATGTAAAGAAATATAGTTAAAATTCATGGAAACTATGGAAAACCTCAAACAAAACAGATTTTTCTTCGTAATTTTCAAAGATTCCAATAAAAAAGTGACCCATTTACAATATTCCATATCCAAACGTACCTAGTAAATGAACTAACCTCAAAAGGTACCCAAAGACCCAACAGCATCTACATCACTTCACTGGGTATTTTGCAATATTTTGTGTTAGTTCTGTATAATTTGGTCACCTTATGTCAAGACGAGGACGCTGGTCCATCGTATGCAAAGATCAGGAGCCTTAAAAGATGCTTTTCAGTCATAAAAACTATAGATAATCCTAAACAAGCTAGATTCTGCATGGCAATTTTCGAAAATTTTCATAGCAAACTGTTCAACTTACAATATTCCAGTTGTAAATGAACTAAGTCTCGACAGTTGTCCAAAAACCTCGGGAACGCTTTCCCAAGAGCGTCTAAGCTACTTTTCAATACTTTTTACAATATTTTTTGTCATTTCTGGCTCGATCTGGTCGTTCTAATATAATGCAAGGATTCTGGTCCACCGTATGTAAAGTTTAGAAACCTTGTAGATGGTTGAAAGTCATAGCAACTGTGGAAAACCTCAAACGAACCAGATTTTTCCTAGCGCATCTCGAAGTTCGGTACAGAAAAATGACTAATTTATGGCATTCTATAATAAAACAACCGTGAACATAGCTTGGATAAATAAACGAAGCCTCGAAAGTTGTCCAATCTAATGCTTTCTGCCATATTTCCCTCGATTTCTGCAGGGAATGGTCGTTCCAAGCAAAACATATCACTCTATCTTCCGTCGTTATGGAAAGACTGGGAGCTGGGAATGACAATTAGAGGTGCAGGTAGAGGGGTTCTCGAGAGATTCGGACAAGACACCCGGTGCACAGCGTAAAAAAACAGCGGAAAGAATTACATTCTGCGCACTGACTGATGTCCTGGCGTCGTATTCCTTGAATCCGGCTTATCCATGGGCCATTGCACTGTGTCGACACGTCCGCCAATCACCGGACGAATCACCAGCTCGCACGGGCGAGCGTATATCGCGCTCGCTTCGACAGAAACCAGGTGAAAAACGGAACCATCACGACTCGACGACCGCCGCGGCGAGACTGGGCTCTCGCTACCCGGCCGGGTAGCTGCCATGGCAACCTGACCACCCTCCCACCACTGAAACCTTCCCACCATTTGCCGTCCTCCACCCCCTCCCATGAGTTTCCGCAGTCGGGTCTCGCGTTCCAGGTCTCCCCCATTCCACTACCCGAAAGAGAGCCTCAACCACCGGCGGAGGAAACGTCGCAGAACCTACGTGGACTCCTGAGGGGATCGAACAATATATTTTCTACGGGCCGTGAACTCTTCTGCTGGGTTATATTAGATTTACTTCGCTATATTTGTATGTTTTTCGGTTTTATGAAATGATCGTTGAAAGGAATTGGATTTTCAGATCGATTGAAGGGGTATGAATCCATCTGCTGGTTATCTTGGTCATTCTTTAGAATATTTATGGCTTTTTCCGGGGTTCTTTTCGAATGTTTGGAAACGGACATTAGGTATTAGAATAGAGTGGAGAGGACATGGACCCTCTGCCCTAGTTATCTTAGTTGTCTTTTGGAATATTTATGGGTTCTTAGGAATTTTTTGGAATTGCTAAAAAAATTTCAGTTTGTTTCTTTTTTTTTCTGCCTGTTTAACAATGGAGACTGTGTTTTGTGTTTGATGGGTTGTCGTGGTTGGAAAGTGTATGGGTGCCTGGTTTCAAGGAGAGTCTTGATTCGATTTGAATGGAATACGAAGGATGATGTTTGGGGTATTGAATTGACTTCGAGGTTGGAAATTGACTCCATTGCTGCTTATGGTTCTTTACTTTGAACAGCTGATACATAGATGGTTAGAATGATTGAAAAGGAACTCTGCAAATCTAATTTCACAAGAAATTCTTTCTTCGTTTGAATAAAAAAGGAAGAAAGATACTTCAAGTATTAATAAAATTCGTTATTAGGAATTGAAATTAGAAATCGACTCCACCACTGATTATAGTTAATATAATCTCTCAACAGAATGATTGATCAATTATTGGATATATAGAAATATAGCTAATAGCCACTAAAGCTTTTATGTACAGGTTTTGCAGTCTAAATCCAACCTTTTACCAAATAAATCCACCGTTTTACAAAAAGGTTTTTCTAAAATATTGGTTTTTTAAGTGTTTGTAATCAAAACAAAATTGTTAAAATATTACTTTTATTATATGCAATACAGACGTACACTAATTATTTATTCAATAGCAATTACTAATTCTTTACATAAGGAATTTGTAATTAAAGGTTTCGGGAGTGTCATTGATTATATCTACCAAGTGATTATAATTTTTCAAAAAACTTCTTCAAAAACAAAAGTGTGAAACTGACATCTTTCATATCGTCATTGTTTCATATTATAAACAAGACTTTATTAATCCTTGCCTGTATTTGTGTGGCGAATCTTAAATGAATTTGTCTTAACTATTAACTATTCACGAATGCAAACATTATGACTTGAAAGTCATCTATTTTTAATCTCTTTTTAACCAATCCGAGACATGCTAATTCTTTATGTAAAAACGAATCAAAAAGTTCTTTCCAAGTTTGCGATGCGATGCATAATTCTCGAGATACAAGCAGTTAAAGTCTACCAAGGTCACTCCCGGCAGCCAGTTTTACTCTAGTCAGCTGATCTGCACGGTGCCACATGTGCACACGAGAACTTCGATTTCTCGTATTTCGAGAATGAAACCTCGTATTGCGAAACGGTAAAGGACTTTTCTATTTGATTTTTTTCAAGGAATTTGGATTCTCTGTTCTTCTTTTCATTCTTAATTAAAAAAGAATTTTTCTTTTATTTCATTTTGAACCGAATATTTCGTCTGCAATTCACGAAATTTGAAAAATTACGAGTTGAAGATGCATAAATACTTTCGTGACCTGTTGTATTTCACAATGTGAAACGACAGTTTCATCTGACGCGTGCCATAGACGACACCCTGTATATTTTAAAGCTCTAGAAGCAATACGTTTTATCCGTAGCGGAATCTGTCCACTGTCATGTCGCGTTAAAGCATTCCGAGACCTTTGTTCTGCCTGTCGGATCTCGTGACAGGGCGACCTCGATACCTTAAAAACGGTTCATTATCGAGGAAAGGCCTGTCCCGACGTCGCGACGCTTGAAATTAGCCTTCAACGTTTCTCGTCTCTTGGCTGATTCTTCGAAATCGACTTTCAAACGAAAAAGAAGAGAAGTTGTTTGCCAATTTTTGTAGTTGTTTCGATTAGAAAACAATCTTTGCAATTAATTCGACAATTATCCATGTTTAGAAATCAATTAGACCACTTCTATTATCATTAATCTTGATGAAATTTGTATAGTTTTTAGAAAACACTTGTCACAGACAAGTCTTCATAAAAAAAATGTTTTTCTAATTTTTCATGGAATTTTGCAAAAAAAGAACCAGAAAAAATCGATTTTCTTTTGAATTGCTATTATTTTGTGTGGGGGGAAAATTTTCTGTGAGATTGCTACAGTTTTGTAGGAAATAAAATATTTTAACGTAAAAATAAATTTAAATTCTGTTGTAATATTATAAAGAAGATAAGCGTACACGTGAAACACAAATTGAAAATGTATTACTGTGAAGGTGTCTCCACTCATGCACGTGTATTAGTAAAAATAACTAAAAACATATTGGCCAATGTGAATTTAATAATTATGAAACGGTTGCTTCAAAAATAATTACCGATGAATCCAAAATTTTCTGTTGTTATTTGAGAATAAAACTACAAGTCGATAACTAATATTATTTCTGATCCTTTATCTTGTTTTTTTACTTTCATAACCTTCTCCTGCATCGAGGTTATGTTTGTCATAGAGGGTGGATAAATAATCACGCTATTATGCATTGTAGGATACCTTTTCGTTCCCAGATTTCCCCTAACAGAAACTAAACGGTGGCGCCACACTACTGAGTTTCAGTGACACCATCTATCGCCAGGAATGAAAACTGTACAAACTATTTTCGAATCGAGTCTATTTTTTAACCTTTAGCAAGTATAATAGAAAGTATATTTTGCAACACATTTAAATCACGAATCGATTTTTAACGCATGGTCTCTAGCTTTTGTTCATACTAAGCATAAGAAACGTTTACTAAATTGCTTTTCTCTATGCTCGACTAGCTGTTTCATTTACTAGCCAAGAGCACTATCCTGAAATTTCTCCCTTGTCCTACTCATTTTTGCAGTGTTAAGCAGGATATTTAGAGGTCGTTGGGTCGGTCGGTCAGGGAATATATTAGTGACCTCCATGTTCCCCAGATTTAACACCTATAGATTTTTATTTATGGGCGAAATTGAAGCAACAAGTGTACAACGAAATACCAATAACTAGAGAATACACGATGGAACATATAAGAAGCGCTTGCATTGCGATTAATCCGAACGAAATTCAACGTGCGAATGTTTTTCAGTAACAGTAAGTATGCCAATAAGTAAATTAATGAGATATTACAGTTAATAAGTATCGTCGCTTTGTAAAGTTAATACAAAGATTCTATTAATTATTTTAGGTGGTTACAGTAAACTAATATTTATTATTTATTTAGAATAAAATAACGAGGAAAGAGTTTGAGCTACTTATTAACATACTCTCCTGTTCGTCAGCCACTAGTAACCCTTTACTCAACTTACCATTTCACGCCACGTCGATTCTATAATCGATTATTCAAATTTATGGTACTCTTTTAACCTAAAAGGACTCTGAGTCAATTTTGACCAAAATCATACTTTAATCTCATTGAAACTATCGAACTAATATATTATTTCCAATTATGCATTCCTCATCAACATTTATATATCCATATACATAGAAACTCAATCATGAAACGTTGAATAACTCAACAATGCTTACGATAAACGAAATCCAGAATCTACGAACAAAGTGCATTGAACCGTACGTTTTAATATCGAATCGCTGTAACTTTATCAAACTTGAAGCAAATGTTTTTGAAACAAACCGATATTTGTTTATAAACGTATCATACACAAACTACACAAAAAAAAAACACTCTAAGCACATACCGAGCAAAAGTTACGAGATATTCTACAGCCAGCAGAACATTTAAAATTCAAAGTGCGATAAATCGACAACGAAAAATCGTACTCCAAACTTTATGTCGTCCGTGCATTAAATAATTAAAAATGTTTCATTCGTATATTTCGAAGTTTTCAAGCCTTAACGGTTTATCTGAGCGAAATTTCTGAGTATCAGAGATTCGATCCACGTGTTTATAGGTTATCTTGAGATTGAACAATTAGGCCACCGGTATCGTAACTTCATAACCTACTGACTAACTTCGTTATAGTTGCAAAATGTACGTATCGTGTCAATGGAAACCAAAACTTCGCAATTATATTCACAATCTAATGTAAGCCCTTGTTCACTCGTTGTACGAGTCGATTTGTAGACACAATGGATACAATGCTGACAACTTTACGACCTAAATTGGACCAATTTTAAATGTTAAGACGTTGTCGAGATCGCGTGAATTGTTGGATCAGCGGATCATAAATTTTTCCATTGTACTTAATTTAATTTCTCTTTCAAAGATTTTATTACACTTTTTTAAAGCGAGGAATTAAGGAATAGAAGATTTTCGAAAGAGTGTGAAAATTTGATTTGGAAATGAAAATGTAGTATCTGAATTTATGGTTAACTGAATTGTTTAATGAATGATAGAAATATTGATTGAAATTGTTGTAGATATTAATTTAAGAAATTTTATTTAAAAGCAGGATTAAATAACTTATTACAGAATATAAATTAAATATTTTTAAAAAAATGCCGACTGTATAAATGAATTTGTGATTACGATAAGATTTAATCGAATGAAAATGTATTGTTTATTAGAATGTGACAGTTTTAAGACAATTATAAAATTCTTTCAATTCTAAATTTCAATTTCTAATGTATGTCGAAATAAATTCGGCTTTAAATATACTGTATTTTAACAAACATAATTATTTTTAATACAAAATTTGTGAATAAATTATAGTTTCTA